AAAAGCTGATCCGATACATAAAAGGAACCACCGAGTTTGGTCTTCCTATAACCAAATCAACTCTACTGCTCAAGACGTACTCCGATGCGGACTGGGCATCGGATCCCATCACTCGGAAATCAACGTCTGGGTTCTGCACGTTTTTGGGCGACACACTCGTTTCCTGGACCGTCAAGAAGCAATCCACTGTATCACGCTCATCAACTGAGTCAGAGTACCGCGCCTTAGCTGCAGCAACGGCGGACACTATTTGGCTCAAGAAGCTGCTCGCCGACTTTCGTATCGATCATACTTCACCGGTGGACATTTTCTGCGACAACACCTCAACCATTGCCCTCGCAAATAATCCTGTTTTTTCACGCACGCACCAAGAACATTGAAATTGATCAACGGTTTGTGCGTGAGCATATTCAGAACAAAGTAATCCGGTTACTACCCATCAGCACGATCGATCAGCTAGCTGACATCCTTACCAAGCCATTATCAACTCCTCGCTTCAAGTTTCTGCGATCCAAACTGACCATTTCCTCCAATTCTCAGTTTGAAGGGGGATGTTAGTGTATTTAAAGAAGATGTACAGTCAGCAGTTCACTTTACTTTTCCATTTCTTGTAATCCAGTAGTCTTATTACACGTGTAAAGTCCTTCTCAGGACTCTATTTAATAACCTTCTATGTAACTGTGTAAGGCAAGAAATACGAATTAACTATTTCCTTTTCACTGTTCATCTTCTTCCTCAATGGGTTCTTGCTGCTCAAGATTAGAATAAGAGTTTCTACATGGTATCAAGAGTATTCCAGTTCTTAAGACCTGGCCATGGCATCTCAATCCGCTGCTTCTTCGTCTACAGCCGCTACCACGCCCGGCGCGTCGTCCGTTCCGGCAATCTCACCATCGCTCAAGTTCGTTATTTCTAATCTGAAATTTCTCGTTCCCCACGCGTTAACCCCGGAAAATTTTCCTATCTGGAGTACGCAGATTGCCAAGCTTTTCAAAGCAAATGGCTTCGCTGGTTTTCTAGAATCCAAATCCGCGTCTGAAAATGCAGATCCGAATCTTGATTCTCAAATCTGGTCCATCACTGATCAGAATCTTGCGACTGCCATGTGCTCTACCATTGCTCCGTCGGTTCTACCATATGTGATTCATCTTGAATCAACGCACGATATTTGGTCTACGCTTCATACCCGATTCCAATCATCCAACCGCTCTAAAGTAATTCAGCTTAAACACGAGCTTCACAATGTCTCGATGCAAAATCTCACTATGACTCAGTACCTCACTAAGATCAAGAAAATAGTAGATCAAATTGCCTCTGCGGGTTCTTCGGTCGATCCTGAAGATATAATCATCTACATTCTGAACGGCTTATCTCCTGAATATCAGTCGTTCACTACCTCAATCCGCACATTGCAGACTTCGCTTTCTCTTGACAGCTTGTATTCTCTTCTCATTAGCGAAGAAATACATCTTAAAGCTGCTGCCGCCAAGTTTCCCAGGCTGCCCGAAAATCAGGCTGCATTATACGCCTCTCGAGGTCGCGGTCGTCGTGGTCGGATTCGAAACAACTCCGATACAACATCGTTGAACCGTTCCTCTCAGCCCTCTGCTATATTCTGTCAAATTTGCAAGAAGAAGGGCCATCAAGCTGATGTGTGTTGGCATCGGCTCAACATTAATTACAAACCAAATCCGCAATCAACCAAGAATCCGAATGCGCTTCTAGCCAGCTCCGAGAACAACTCGTCCACCGACTGGTATATCGACTCGGGAGCATCGGCTCACATGACAAATACTTTGGAAAATCTGTCTACTTCCACTACCTACACTGGACCTGACTCGGTAACAATCGGGGACGGAAGGTCGGTTCCTATTGCCTATACAGGCACTGGTATCCTTCCCACCCCCGATAGTAAGCTTCTTCTCTCTAAAATTTTACACATTCCGTCTTTATCATATAATTTGTTGTCTATCTCTAAGCTTGTTCAAGATAATAACTTAGCCATTATATTTGACCAAAATGGGTTTGTTTTCAAGGACCGGCAGAGCAATCAAATTATTCTTACAGGTCCATGTAAGGATGGGTTGTACAAGCTTGCGGCACAGTAACAAATTCCACCCACGGGTCTCTCAGTCACCCGCAATCGCCTCATCAACTGGCATCAGCGACTTGGCCATCCAAACAATCGCATTCTTCAGCAGATCGCTGCTCTTAATCCCTCTCTCTATATCTCTTCTTCTTCTTCTTCACCTATGTGTTCTGCTTGTATTTCTTGTAAAGGACAGAAACTATTTTTTGATAATTCCATTACCTGCACTAATGCTCCTTTAGAACTTGTTCATTCTGATGTCTGGGGACCGGCTCCGGTTCCCTCTCATCAAGGATTCCGCTATTATGTCATTTTCATCGATGATTACTCTAAGTTTTCGTGGCTTTTTCCTCTTATTTCTAAAAATGAAGTTGATCAATCACTCTCTTATTGTGAAGTTCACATTCTCAGGGAAATAAAACTCTTGTCTACTTTATTTATGGTCACTATTTTTATACTCAAGTTGGTACTATGTGACCTTAAGTTTAATGATGAGTATTACCATATCCAAATTATCTCATGGCCTAAATTATTTATAGTACGAATCTACACTTTTTACTATTATAAGTTTCCCTCCTTATTGATGCTATTCTTGTTTATTATTCTCCTCTCTTGTCTTCATATAGGTACATATATACTTTCTAAGAATGAAGATTCAATAAAGATGTAACCCTGATGGGGAGGTATTTAATAGATTTCAAAGGTTGTTGATGTGGTGGTGGATAATTTAGAGTTAATGGAAGGCTAAAGGAAAATATTAACTAGTTTACAATTTCTAAATAGATTTTTTGTTGAACTTTATGGTAGTAGCATACTAAGTTTTCTTTGATGGAGAAGGGTGAGAACCCTCATATCTGAGGTTTGGGATGTAAGTTAATTAATGGAGGTGATTTTAGATCGATTTTTCTTGTGGTTAGGAAATTATGAATTTTTATATGGATTAGTCTGAGCATGTGGACATTATTAATTAAGGTTTTGTGGAAGGGCAAGACAGAATTTTGTGTTGGTTGAATTGGTTCAAGGTTTTGGAAAGCTGGTGGGGATGTAAGAGAGAAAGAGAAATTAGAAAAAAATGATGCGTTACAGTTCACAAATTTTAACTATTGTTGATTCATAAATATATCTAGAAGTTGATAGCACAAAGTCCTCATTGACACCTGTTTTTGTAAGAGATTAAGGTCTTTTCCATTGAATCGATGGAGGCATAAATAATACATGAAGTGTTGTAGAAAATGAGGAAAACCAGCATGAAATTTCACCAAAATGCCTTTGTAAAAATTCATCAATAGTATATAATGGCAGCCCTTCAAAATTTCTCCTCATTTGAAAATAAATAATGCTTCTCAAATTTAAATGATTTAGTTAAATATTTGATTTCTTTTGAATAGTTGAATTGTTTGATATAATCCTAAAATAATGTTTTACTTTTAAAATGTCTTCTCGAAATCTCATATGTTTTGTCCCATATTTCTTAAAAAAAAAAAGGAAAAAAAGATGCAGTTAATTATAATGATGACTGATTTTTGAAATAGATCTAGTGAAAGGCCTACTTACATGTCTTGCATCAACTCTAGTTCACCTGATGGCTGTGTAGAATTAAAAATGTTATGAAGTGAGAGAGATAGTGCTACGTGTCTATAGAGAAATTATTAGGTGCGGAGTGCGGACGGGAGAACCGTCCGCACACTAGTATAAAACCGCGCTCGGTACCGTTCGGTACCACTCGGTACCACTCAGTACCACTGGGTACCGCTCGGTACCCTGTGTCTGTGCGGACGGTTCTCACCCCGTCTGCACTCCGCACCTAATAATTTTTCTTGTCTATAAAGGTGGTGGACTATTTGTACCTTTAGGTGCATTTAATGTTACAAAATTAGTATCCACTGAGATAACTAATAATAGTGATTTTATTATAAGTTAAAACATAATCATTGCTATTCTATTCTCAGGGTGAATACTTTTAAAAAATAATTTCAGCAATGTTATCATTATTTTGGTCAACTCATTGTAATATATGTGAATAAAGACTGTAGATGAAGTGCTAATGAAAATGCATTGTTATAAAATGAACGGTAAATCGTGTCAATTGAGTTAAGAGGCACTAAAACAAAAGCCATCATTCTCATAATGCATCTTAAGATGCTTAATTGCATGAGAAACAAATTTGACAATGGAGGACTAGGACTAATATCCGAGTCATGTTGTATGTTAAATATGGATGATGGCTCATCACTAGACTCCCTAATATGTGTGTCAAATAAAATAGGTTGGGGTTCTAAGATCACAATAGGTATGCATATCACAAGGCAAAATTGTGTGTTAAATCTCTTAATGAGAGGTTTCGTCAAGCATGATATTATGTAATTAATCTAATAGTTTAGACTTATGATCTGAAACTATAATTGTGCGTATCAGATGTAATAGGAGATTCATTGAGCTCTGTAGGAAAAGATACATGTTAACTTTTCCATTTAGAAGATATCATAAATATCTTAGGCAATGAAATTTCCATTTTTTTCTATCACTTCTGAGTAGTTTTTGGATGCTAATAGTGTTATGATTGCAATTGTAACATACTTCTCTTGAACCTTGTGACATTCCACAGTATGGTTGAGGTTGTGTGAATGTTTGCTTTATTTTAGATTTTTAGCTAATTTACCAATGTGTTCTAATTGCAACTTAACTTACTAGATAGTATTTTAATGTAATTAAAATTACGTTAATAAAAAAAAATTTCTCAGCCTTGAGGCACAAAAGATCGAGTGTTCGTTTTTGTATTACTAGCAGAATTCAAATCTCTGATTCTTCTCTTAACTGTATAAACGTTGATAGGTTGCTGCCATCAGCAATATGCACTCCAAGGATCAGCTTTTCAACTTATGATGTTTTTTCAATTTTTTTGTCTAACTAGGTGCACAGGCGCTTGAAGCTCACACTAGACTTAATCAAGAAAGAGATTGAGATCAATAAAATACAGGTACTGTCACTGTTGCTAATTTAAGCTGTGTGAAGAGTTATCCCATTCCCCCAAATTAAGCATGTTATAAGGTGTTTTATACTGTTTATTTTATATGCTAGGAATCAATTGCTAAGGCTATTGAGGAAAAAATATCTGGTGAACAGAGACGCTATCTTCTAAATGAGCAACTAAAAGCAATTAAGAAGGTAAGTTCTTATTTCATTTCATGTGGGAAGCGGCTGTAATTTTTCAAATGTAGAGTAGTCAAAGTAAACTGGTTAGATCAAATTTGTTAGCCTTCTTGAACTATGCCTGTCCCGTCCTGGCATGTACCTATCTTCATAATTTCTTCTGGGAAAAAGAGCCAAAAAGAGCATTTGGCTTATCAATGGGATCCTGGGGGAGCAACTTCTTTTAAACTTGTCTTGTTGATGTAATAATTCTTTTCATGTTTATGACTTTATTCCATTGATCCAGGAGCTTGGTTTGGAAACTGATGATAAAACAGCACTTTCTGGTGAGTTCTTATTTTGGCCTAATGCAGTGTGTGAAATCCATTCTGTAAGTATGGCGTGTTTCCCGATTACCGAAATAATATATTTCAATATTTTTCCCCTTTTGCAGCAAAGTTTAGAGAAAGGATTGAATCAAAAAAGGATAGATGCCCTCCTCATGTATTGCAGGTTTTTGAAGAAGAACTTGCAAAGCTGCAGTTGTTGGAAGCAAGTTCTAGCGAGTTTAATGTTACTCGTAATTATCTTGACTGGCTTACTGCTTTACCCTGGGGAGACTACAGGTTCTACTTAGAAACACTTAATTTCTAAGTATCTAGCAGTTCAAAGAGAGATTTGTTTTCTTTCAGCATATCTAGTAATTCAAAGCAAGTTGCAGAAAATGACAACCTTAGGAATACTAACTGACCTCAGGCTTTTTGATTTTCTTTTAACACTAAAATTGCCAACTTATAAGAGATGCTTCTTTTTGTTGATGCCTAAGAATTGTTTATCTCTGGAATTCTATAGTTTTATTTTACTGGTTTTTGCTTGTAAGGAATATGCTATTTATCTTAATTTATGTGTTGACCGAGGAGAGGAGATAGAAAATGGTATTTGCATCTCTTCAGGGAACAACACACTCGATCGGCTACTTAATTGATATAAAAAATACATTAAATAGAAAGAATGATGACATATGCTTATTTCAATTTTCAACCCTGTCCGTTCCTTGTTCTTCTTCCACAATCTCCTGCTTAACCTGCCATGTTTAGCCCCCCAACCTGCTCTTTCATGTGACGCCACAACTCAACCCAAGCTACTTTTCCGGCCCGTCTCCGTTACAGAATCCCTGCCCGCTTCAATCAACCCTGCCTCACACAGCCTCCACACGCTGGAACTGACCAAACCGCCATCCCCCTCCACCCGCACGACCCAATTTGCACGCCGGCCTGCCTTCGCACACCTCCGATTTTCCTAAGTGAAATCACCCCAACCCGCAATCCAACCTACACCTCCTTTGCGTTTGCGCGACTTAGGCTTTCCCGACCTCAACCCACGCACAAGTGCTTTAGGCAATCAATTTTTTCCTTTTTGTGTGTGTGACTCTCTTACAAAAACCGTACAGCTGACCTTGTGTACGTGAAAACCTGTGCGAGCTCTCCACCTCCTATTTCCTATATTCTAATTGCCTCAGATTATTCAGGCATATTATTTAATACAAGACAATGTATTGTCCTGTCATCAGTTGCTTTAATTTAAAAAAAGAGTAAAATCAATTGTATGCCCTGGCTTTATGCGTACACAATTGCTTTAATTGATAGCATTGACTAAAGAAACTAAATAAGTGGCTATGTAATTAATTTTTTTTTCTTTGGAGATCTCAAAGCAACATATATTCACTCAAAACCCGTACAATCGATCTTTGATCTGGACAGATGAGTTTTAAATTCAAAGACCCATGCCATGATTTTTAATTTAGACGGATGATTTTTAATTTTCGTAGGCCTTACGCCATTGATTTTTAATTTGGGTGGGATGGTTTAAATTTAAATACCTCATGCAGTTGAATCTTTGATCCTGGTGAGATAAATTTTAAATTCGAAGACCCTGTGCCGTTGATCTGTGATTCAGGCAGGAAGGAACAATGACAAGTGCTATCCCTACCTCCTCTTGTAGGGAGGGGATGTCGAGAGGCTGCCGAAAATTTCCTGGAAAATTGCCGAATTGCCTTTGGAGCCATTAGAGAGCAACGTCATAACTATAATAATTAAAATAACTAATTCAATTAATTGATCAACTTAATTAAAATTCATTAAATGAAAAATAATAAAATACAATTAATTAACTGAACAAATTTAACTTTAATTAAATAATTTAAAATACAGATTAAATATGATTATCAAATTAATTAATGATTTCAAAACATAAAATTTAAATGTAATTATTTAATTAAACGGTAAAGTGAATATAACTTTAAGTCTTTAACTTTAATTTTAAATTTAACTTCAAAACACAACCTTTAAATCTAACTTTAAAAATTATTTTAAATTAAACTTCAATTTAATAGGAATTTAATTTAATTAATTAAGCCAATTTCAAATAAATCTAAATCTATTTAATTAATAAATTAATCAAACTTTAAAAGAAATTTGAAATTTAATAAATTGAGCAATTTAAAATTAATCAGATAATTAATCATTCAATTCAAAGTATTAGATTTAGTTAATTAACAAATTTTTAAATAAAATTGAATTTTAATTAATTAAACATTTAACCGATTTTAACCAATCTAAACTTCATATAAACAACCAATTAACTAACTGATTTTAGAAATTCAAATAATCAATTTTAACTAATAATATAATTTAAATTAAATTAATTTAAAACTTAAAACACATCTAACCAATTTAAAATGAAATAAAATACAAAATAAAAATATTTGCTCTAGTTAATATCAAATAAAATACACACAACCCAACTCAACTCAAACTCACAACTCAAAACTCAACACACTCTACACAACCAACTCTCAAACACTAAACACAACTCTAACACAAACTCCATATTCTCTAGTGCTCTTGGGAAAGCTCCTGCGGTACAAAACTCCAAGCACCTGCAAGTTAAAGAACAAAAAATGATTAGTACCATAATAATTAATAATTGTTAAATAAAAAGAATAAACTACAATGCAGAGAAAAGAAACTACTATAACTGAAAAGAAATTGCCAAGCAGGAAGAAAAAAGCCACTGTAGCAAAAAACACTAGTGTCACACAACAATAACTATTGTCTAGTAAGTGTCGTGCTAGTAAACAACTAAAAACTATTGTTTTATATCAAGCTAACAAATAACAGCTGTCCATTCAAACAAATTAACAATTAAATCTCTGTGCATGTTAGCTTATATGGTTAGGTTGTAAGCCCCACTATTGGACTACTTCAAAAGTGAAGCAATAAGACCAGTCCTACCTAATAATTAGACAACTTATATTGGGACTCGTGAGACCTATTATTTGAGAAATTTTCAAATGAAATATCAAACCCTCAAATAAAAATTAACGGGCATCTTAATCTAAAGGATTTGGTAAGACCCACTTTTAGGAAATTTTCAAAGGAAAACTTTAAGACCTACCCAAATAATTAAATCTTTTGACAGTCTTGCTGTAGAGCTAGGTTGTAAGACTCATCTTTGGATAACTCATAAGTAGAGCCGTAAGTTCCACTCCAAATTAAACCTACTGCCAATTTCTAAGGGAGTCGTAAGATCTGTTAACCAAATTCAAAATTAATGAGTGGCTTAGCTAATGGGGCTAGGTTGTAAGACCCACCAATATGCTATTGCTAATAGAAGTCATAAGACCTGCTTTTCAGGATATTTTCAATGAAAGCCATAAGCTCCAACCCAAATTCAAACCGACGGGCTGCTTCCAAGAGAAGTTGTAAGACCCATTTTAATTCAATTTTTTGTGTAACTTCTAAAGGAAGTCATAAACACCAAAACCCAATAAAACTAAAATTCACATCTAGCAACCTCAGTCTACTTAGGATCCGTAAGAGGAGGCAACTCATGATTGCTAATCATATTCCTTAGACATTATAGTTAATGATTGTTAGTGTTGGTAGACTGAAACTTTTGGTATACCCGTGACGATGGAACCATGGAATCTTGATCGGGTTTACCTCCATTTCCCCACAATTGAGACTAAAACATTTAAAATTATTCATCCTCAATCGAGGGTTTTCTCTTACGTGTTAATAGGGGTAATTAACTATGAGTGTTTGCGCTCATGGGAAGTAAGGACTTAGATCTAATTAAACCCTGACACTACCCTCATGAAAATTTTGGTTAATTACAATCTGATTTGAGAGAAATGGAATCCTACTTCTGTAAAGCGGGATTCATGCTGACGTGCCATTTTTCTTGAGCCAATATTATGATCTGTCCTTGTGATGTATTATGATTAGATGCATGTACAAACAACTTGTATACCATGGTCTTGAAAAGTTGACAATACCTGCAATAACTCTTTTATTTGTCAAAATAACTCTTTTATTTGTCACTGCTTTGAATGCATATTATTTTGCCTTTCGTGTTATCACTGTGCGGAGGGTTGACAATCTTTTCCTTGCCGCACCTTTTAGTTGGGCCTTGATTCGTCCCTTGAAATAGTAGATATCTAAATTATATGCCATGTAAAGCTTGCAGATAGGTTAATAATTAGAGTGCCTTCCAAGAAATTTTGAGTTAATTGCATTAGTTGGATTGCTGATTTTTTTTTTTTTCAAAAACCACACTATATTTTTCTTGCTATTGGAGAATTCAGGTACATGCACTGTAAATTTGGCTAGGTTATGTGTTCGTTGAAGGTCATGAGAACCGTGGCCACTTGTTAGTACTGGTAGCCTCAAATATTCCTTAGCATCTGTGGAATTATGGAGATCTTACACTGTAGATGTGACCAGATCTGGAGTTGTGATATAGTTGTCAAGGCGATGAAAATCTAATTTTATTATGCTAGCCTCAGGCTCTCTTTATCAACTTGAGGTGATGGAGTCACCCAATTTTTACTATTCCATTTTCTTCCTACCTTTTTTTCTTTCAGAATTATTTTCTTCAGAAGTCTTTCTCCCTCTTCCTACTGTTTGCTATCACTCTTGATAGTGTTGGAAATTTAGTTTCATCTAACTACTATGATTTGTATATAGTTTCTTAATGTAATTTATTTTAATGTTTCTCCCATATTTTCTTCTTTTGTTGAATAAATTCATGCAATTATCTTATGAATTCCCTTTTCGGAGTACCAAGTAACATAAGTGTATAATTTTCCTTTTGATTGCAGCGATGAAAACTTCGACGTTCATAATGCACAAAAGATTTTAGATGAGGACCATTATGGCTTATCTGATGTGAAGGAAAGAATTCTGGAATTTATAGCTGTTGGAAAATTGAGAGGAACCTCACATGGTTAGCAAGGATGTTCTTCCATAGTTTCATGAATATATGCTATTTGTTTAACTGATGTAACTCAATAAAAAAACTTTCAACATATTTTTGTATGTGCAAGAGATTATAAGATTTTTAACATGCTTATGTTTAGATTTATAAACTATTACTAGCCTCTCTTTTTTCACTGTGTTCTTGTCATTTTTAAATTATCACGTGCTAACTATTTATTGCAGAAATTTTCAAAAATTTATTATTATCGTATTTCATCATTATTGGGATATTCTCCTTTATCATTCTCTTCTCTTACCTATATAAATACATATATAATTGTATCATGAAGACATTTGAGGTGAGTTATAGTCTTTTCCAATTCTCTTTAACATGCTATTAGAGCCATAGCATAGAATACTCCTAATCTGCTTTAAGCACCTTCTTGTTGATGTCGTATTCCTTGAACTAATAATCTCCATTGACATGCTCTCACACTTGCCTCGGACTACGACCTATCTGAGTTCTATAGGCTTCCCTCATGAAATTCTCATCTTCATCTGGAATGAGATGTTCTCTAATGGTTGCAACATTGTTTGCACTACATTGACATGAGCTAAAAACTCACCCTCTTGTTCTGTTTATACATCGATTCATTATCTGACCAAAATACTACATAAAATTCTTTACCCAGTGATCTTGCAATCATGATCCGGGAGCTAGATGTCATCTTCACTCACTGGCCATTAAGGCACTTTGCCACCTCTATATTTGGCTATTTCTATTCACCTCTACATTCCATTTTATACTCTTAGTTGACACTCTCTATCATACATTTGTTTAAGGAATTTATCTATGCCTTCTTTGATACAGAATTCGTTGCTTTCTCGTTGCATTCAGTTTACGCTACTATCTTTTCAAGGAATCGATTTCATCATCTTTTTACACTTGCTATCTTTGGGCAAAAAAACATTGGACTACTTCATCTATGGTGACAATTATTTTTAAATTCATGTTGACATCTTTTATGCCACCTTAAGTTTGCGTGCGAGTGCTAAAATATAAAAATTATCATATCTACTAATTATTTATAGTAGGATTCCACAGTATTTATTTTTGTTACGTTTTCTCATCATTGAGGATATTCTCCTTTATTATACTTGCATTTATTGTTCTATTCCCTTGCCTAATTATTGGCACATATATGATGACAATTGAGCAAAGATGTACTTTTTTCAATTATTTCCCTTCAATAATGTTTTTAGCTCATAGAAAAGGAATATAAAAGATGACTAATAAGCTTAATTCCGTGGGCAGGTAAGTAGGAAAGTGTAATGTTTGGATGCACAGAAGTTAATATGGATATACATGATAAGCATGACCTTGCAAGCATTGTTAAGTGTGGATTGATTCTTGACCTAGTTCAATTATGGTCAAATCCCAACTTCTTGGAAATGTGTAAATTTTTTTTTTCCAATTGCTGTTTGGGTTAGAATCAGTAATATACAACGGGAGTTGGCTATTCTTAATATAGTATTGTTGATTGATTAAAAAAAGAAAAAGAAAAGAAAGAATAGAAAGAGACGAAAAAAATGATGAAATGAAGAGTTGCAGCTCTTCGTGAAATCTCTTCTAATACTTTCTATAATCTAGTCCCACCTCAAGTGATTCATGCCAAATGAAGCAACCCTTCGCTTCAATAACTACAATCTTAACTTAAGGAAGATGGAATCCTACGGTTGCAAAGTAGGATTCATGCTTTCGCGCTGTTTTTCTTGAGCTGACAAGTATTAGCAGTGAGAATGAAGATCTGACATTATTGATCATAAACATGACCAATGCTATTGAAAATCTGATTTTCTTTTGAAGATTCTTGTTTGAAAAGGTCCAATTAAGTCTAACATTATGTTCTCGGAACTTCTAAATTAGTCAACCTTTATTCCCAACCATGTGATTGCTGATATGCAAATAATTTAACTTTCCAAAAATTGAAATTTACTGTATTTTGGTGATGAATTATTGTACTAATTAAGGAGAATCACCAGATTTATGAGCACATCGATATGGCTTTAATTTACATTTAATGGTCACAGGGAAAATCATATGTCTTTCCGGTCCTCCTGGAGTTGGTAAAACTAGTATTGGACGTTCAATTGCACGTGCGCTGAACCGCAAATTTTATAGGTTTTCTGTGGGAGGCTTGGCTGATGTTGCTGAAATCAAGGTACAAATCTGTCTTTATCGTGCATTGGTGATTGTTGAACCTTAATAGCTTTATTCTGCAGCTTAGGAAATCATTTAAATGGAGTTAATTTGAATGATTCAAATTTTTCAGGGTCATCGTCGAACCTACATTGGTGCAATGCCAGGAAAAGTTGTCCAATGCTTGAAAAGCGTTGGAACAGCTAATCCTCTTATTCTAATTGACGAAATTGATAAGGTATTGTGACAGCCTATACAATTATTTTGACATTTAATCATTATTCATTAGAACCATTGTTCTTTTAGAAACCACGCCTCTATCGTCTATTATTTATGTTTCTGTAAATTATTTTAGATTTCCCATTTTTGCAGTTAGGCAGAGGACATGCTGGTGATCCAGCAAGTGCTCTGTTGGAGCTTCTTGATCCTGAACAAAATATGAACTTCCTTGATCACTATTTAGATGTTCCTATCGATCTCTCAAAAGTAAGTTTCTGCTTCCATGGACAGAGGTTGAACCTTCTATTCCTTTGGAGCACTTGAGACTTCAAGTTGAATTTTAATTTTTCTTAGCATACCTTTTGTTCTGATACTTCTGAAATATGCTAGTTTTAAACTGCAATGGTGTTCTTGAAAAAGATTCTAAAAAAATAAATTTTGGTTAGAAATGCATTTTTTAAGTAATCCACAGAGAATGCCTTTTTTTTTTAAGAATTTTGAACTTGCTAACCAAGGAAGGATGAAAACTGATTCATACTACCATTGTTTGTTGACAAGCGAATAGATGAGAAATCCCATTTCTTTTTCTTTTAGAAATCAAAAGAATTATATTTCTTTATTTGAAATGCAGGTGCTCTTTGTTTGCACAGCTAATGTGATTGAAACTATTCCGACTCCTCTCTTGGATAGAATGGAAGTAATTGCGATTGCTGGTTATATAACTGATGAAAAGATGCATATTGCAAGGGATTACCTGGAGAAGGCAACTCGTGAAGCCTGTGGTATCAAGCCTGAACAAGTATGCCGTAATATTGTCATGTCTGAGATGCTTTGTAACTAGAATTATTGCGTTATTCTGTAAAAGGGCAATGCAAACTGAGCCACTAATCTTTTTTTTTATATAGATATATTTAATTGAGTAAATCTGATTAGATTAAAATATTCAGGTGGAAGTAACAGCTGCAGCTCTACATGAACTTATAGAAAATTATTGTCGAGAGGCTGGTGTGCGTAATTTGCAGAAACAAATTGAGAAGATATACCGCAAGGTTTGAATATATGAATTTTGAAGATTGTTCATGCTTTCATATTTTTAAGTTGTATTAGTTTTTTCAATCCAGTTTGTGATATTGTTAATAATCAGAACAAGCAAATAATCTAGGTTTTTTCGTGAGAGTTCTTTGAAATATAATTTTAAAACTATATGTGGGCTTCCTTCCTTTGGTTGCACAATCATAGTGATATTTCGTCTGTTACCAGCAATTTTGTTTGTTGTCCACTCAGTTAATTTTAGATTTTCAGCTTTGGGGCAATGTAGTTGTGCATAATGATTTTGTTAAATCTGTTTTAATTCTGTTGCGAAGTTCCCTTATTGATCTGCAGTTTAAAAGGTATTTTAGGGAACTGTTTGTCATTGTAATTACTTGATTATTAGGAATAATAGGTTCACATCTCCCAAGTCTGATTATTCATCTCTAAAATCACTTTGCTATTGAATATATTATAGAACCACCACTTGTAAGTCATGATGCCTTCCACAGATTAGCATGTTAAAGATAGTAAAGAAGTATATTATTAAAATATATGACTTTTTTACTTAAGTTTGTTCCATCAGTTTTCTTCTTAAGCCAGTTTCTATAACATGAACTTGTACTTCTATCTGCAATATAAATCATGAAGTTCTCGTGTTGTAAGAAATACTTGTTCACTCCCAATAGTTATCCATTTTCTACTTATTACTCTGATATTTTGACAGATAGTTCTACAATTATTACTCTGATATTGTTACAGATAGCTCTACAATTAGTTCGGAAGGCAATTTCAATTGAGACATCTGCGGCTGCCAGCATTCAGCCTGGTAAACTTGAGCAATATAATGAACCATCTAAAGAAGATCTTATTGAAGATGTTGATGGTTCTCTAAGCTTTGAAAAATCAGATAGTGATCCATCTAGTGAAAATGTTGATGCTGCTGCTACTGCGGAATCCAAAAATATAGCTAATCCTGAACAAATTGGTGAAACTTGGGAGGAGGTTGAAATGGCAGAAGTTGATCTATCCCCTGACCAAACTACAAGAGTTGGCGAACAAATTAACTCAAAGGTTTGTTTTTCTTACTTTCAGAGCAATAAACTCTAGATACTTTGTTCAAGAACTGTTGAGCTTGAAGACTTCCCATTGCCTTTTTGCTTGAGTTTTTGAAGTTATTATTTCTTGTGGTCTGCATATTGTGCCTGTGATATTATTTGTGCATCCTTTGGAGCTATATCTTCATACATTTATTTTTAATGCTTAGAATAGTCTATGGGTGTAATTTGTTTAGGTTATGACTTGACATCATGATGATGCTTTTAATAGTTTAGTGATAATTTACATTTTAAATGATAAGCATCTTATTTGTACCTTGCTAGCTGAGTTTTTACTACTATTTCCATGCTTATTAGCTATGTGATTTGGGGATGATATCATGAAGGATATGTTAAATCCGACCATTCATTTTTTAGAAGACTACAAAAAGAAGCATCTTTCATAAGAAGATCGAATCAGTTAAATCCAATCGTCCTATCTTTTGGTCAATATTGGTGGTGGTAGTGATTCATAGATCACGTCATTGAGATTGAATAGGATATCATCAAGAGTATAAACACACGATTGTATTATTATCCAAACATCATGTGAGAAATTAAGGTCCCATAACTTGGATTGTCGAATTAAAGTTTATTTGTTTCAAATTTAAAATTCAGGATTAAGATTCAGCTGGAATTATTTTGTAGATTGAACATATTTAATTTGTTATAATAAACGGGGGTTCTTTTTTGTTTTTAATGGCGTTTTTGAAGTAGTGGATTAGATGTTATCTCTTGATTTCCCCAAAGTATTGAAACTAATAGTTGCCTTCTCTTTTACAAGAATCCTAGCAGATGTTCCTTCTGCCTTGCTTGCTTACTGCCGCTGTTGCCTTGTTAGTTATTGTTGATTTTTTTTTTTTCCTGTTGTTTCTTGTGTTTTCTATGGTAGTTGTTTTTTTTGTCTGTTGACTCGCTCTTTGTCCTAACTATCATCTACTCGAACAGTTACTATTTGCAACTTCGCCAAAAATGAAAAATAACCTCTATTTTGCTTTTGCAATAGTAAAAACTTTGGCACAACAGATTGTCATCTAATGTGGGAAACAGACCAATTTACGAATTAGTATGAATACTAATGCTGACATGGGGCAAAGTCATGTGCATGTTACATACTTACATTAGTCTCATACCCATCTCAAATAGTTGCATTCACGTGAATTGTTTCCAAACAAAATGACATGGTCAAACTTGTTGTACATCACGGTTGCATGAGTGCTCTAAGTGACATATATGTTAATTATTAAAATAAAAGGAACTTATACATATCCCGTGAATAAACAGTACAACGCATAACAAACAACGCACCTCATGAATGAGTATTTCCTAAATGACACAAATAAGTGCAGTGCTATGCTTCATAGGCCGCACAATCATTTTGACAAAGTGCATGGGATACGTCAATTCACCAAAAGATTTTTGGTCCACTCGTCCCCTAAATGTATGGGGGTGAATGTACAGAAGACAAGAAATGCTTTTTTTTATTGAGGACCATTATTTTCTTTAGGTTGTCTGTAACTTTGTTCCTTTTATACTGCTCCTTTTATATTGGTGTTGATTATTGTTGACTAACTTGCCACTTATAAAGGATTGCAGATCAATAACCCAAATTTTTTTTATTACATTGATTATATACTTCGTAAATCGAGTGGTAGATGTTAATTGTTTTCTTGACAGGTCGATGAAGTGATTGATATAGGAGAAAAAGCTGGTGGTGATACTGAGGTTGATAAAGTTGTAATCGATGTTTCAAATTTGGTTGATTTTGTGGGTAAACCAGTATTCCATGCTGATAGAATTTATGATCAAACTCCGATAGGAGTCGTTATGGGGCTAGCATGGACTGCTTTGGGCGGATCTACACTATATATTGAAACAACGCTAGTTGAGCAAGGAGAAGCCAAAGGTGTACTTCATATTACAGGTCAACTTGGAGATGTTATGAAAGAGAGTGCCCAGATCGCCCACACAGTTGCCCGAGCAATTTTGCTTGAGAAAGTTCCAGAAAACCCATTTTTTGCAAACTCAAAGCTTCATTTGCATGTACCTGCCGGTGCAACGCCCAAGGATGGGCCGAGTGCTGGCTGTACCATGATCACATCATTGCTCTCTCTTGCAATAAAGAAGCAAGTAAGAAAGGATTTAGCAATGACCGGTGAAGTTACATTGACTGGGCGCATTCTTCCCATTGGTGGGGTATGTTTCAGTTTTTTATTTCTCTTTTTGTGATAGTTTCTGATGAATTATCTTTTTCCCCTCATGCCTTGATATTATAAATTTAACTATCAATATTATTGTCTAGTTTACAAAATTACATATTTTTTTCCTGTCAATTTGTTCTTTGTGAGCAGAGTAATGTTACAGAGTCTGAAATTCTCTGTTTGATAAATTTTATTATCAAAATTAGGTTTTTCATAGTTTTTATTTATTATGATTTTCTCCTATATTATAGTTCTGATTGATATCTTTCATAAATAAATTAGGTTAAGGAGAAGACTATAGCTGCAAGGAGAAGTGAGGTAAAGACAATCATATTCCCTGCTGCAAATAGAAGAGATTTTGATGAGCTTTCAGATAATGTGAAAGAAGGTCTTGATGTCCATTTTGTTGATGATTACAGTAAGATATTTGAGCTTGCTTTTGGAAGTATTGACAGCTCTAAAAGCTAATTGAGGAGGTTTCATATCTTGTCATATTGCACTGAATTACAACACCCTTGCGCCACCATACAATTTTTTTTTTCTCCTAGGTTACAATCTCATAACAGATTTTTTTTCTCCCTTCTATTATTTTATCAATATTATCTCAATCAAAATTTTGTATTATTCTTTGTTTGTTAAGGCATAGTTTATGAGCCGAATGATAATTTAAAATTATGATTGCTCGGAAGTTCACTATGTTGCTTCTGACACATTCATTTTGTAAAAACTTTTGGATTTATGTTATGATTAGTCGAAAAGTTTTATACTAGTTATCGACTAATTATCACTTTACTTTACTTTTCTTATTCAGAATTTGGGATTTGACAATAACAATGTTAAACTTTCTGTTCAAATATTAAAAAGAAGAGAAATTATCAGCAATATGATGCCTTAGTTATGTATATTTCCACTCATAAAACAGATAATCACAGCCAGCACACATGTTATGAGTATTTTAACTATGAAAAAAAAAATTATATGATTAAGCCTTGTTAATTATACATCATGGTGAAGAGAAGGATACTGAGACCCTCCATCTATAGATGAAAAATATTATTCCTTATCAGAGCTGTTTTAATTTTCCAACATGAAGAAGGAATCGAATCAAGATAGATGCACTTCAATTTCAAAAATCATCTCAAACTTCGGTGGTCACTGCACAGTCCTTTAGTAGAGATAGAAGACACTGACTTTTCATTACAACACATGAAAGTCATAATGCTTTGATTTATCCAGCATCAAAGCATTATGTGGTGTTTAGAATTTATTTATACTATGATTTAAAAGTTAAAAAAAAAAAGAAGAAGATGAGGCAGAGGTTGGAATTGGCTGTGATTATTTTAGAAAACTGGAAATTTTCATGATCACAGAATCATTAGTGAAACATTTACTCGAAGCCAAGAATGCGTTGGAATTGGCTGTGATTAGAGCTACTGATGTGAGCTTAGTTTGGTTCAACCAAATTACAGATCACATAAAAAGAATTATGAAATTATTAAGTTGTTAAATACAGAGCAGAGGTTGTGCCTTGAGCTTGATGATTTGAGGAGATATGCTCTCTATTATTCGAATAAATATATTTGTAATAAAAATGTAAGAAAAAAATACAAACCCATGACGACCTTGTTTCTCTCCCGGCTCTTGTTCGCAAGCCCAACGTCCAATAGTCTTCAATTCACTACCCCAAGCTGTCTTCCTCTCCAGAATCTTGACCCTGATGCCAGAACTAACTCTGGCTTCCTTCGATCTCATGTAGGCGCGATTTCCTTTGATCTCATGCAGGCAAATCGTACACCGGACCAGGTCTTCTCCTGCAAACAAAGCCAAATCTTCCGCCTTGCTTGCGATATCTGAAGTCTCACTTGTACGGAACTTCCAAGTTGTGCCTCTTGAACATTCTCTCTCTCGCCTCCCCACCTATAGCCATCGCTCGTCCACATATTAGCCTGTGAACGTCTCCTTCATGTGAACGAAACGAAAGCTCGAGCCCCTCATCCCAACCTCTTGCATTTACATGTGGTGCCTCTACTTCAGTCATATGGGTTTCATGAGTGTGATCTCTTTTTATCATCATATTTTTGTTTATATAATTAATTAAAGTGAAACATTAATTCTTTGGGGTTCTTTTAAGCCTCCCAACATCCCCTCCTTGTGAAGGGAGGTAGGGAGGGCACTTGCCCTTTCAAATTTGTCCAACTGAAAAGATAATCGGCGGTTGAGGGTTTCTAGACGTTAGTTGGTTCCAGAATAGGCCTTCCAGTATTCCATTTTACGTGACCTGTTAATTTTAAATTAAAACGCACATTTTGTTCCCCTTAAAAATCCTACAGCCTTCCAACACCCCCTCCCTGTTAGGGGAGGTTAGGGAGGGCACGTGCCCTTTCCAGTCTGCCCAGTCGAAAGGATAATCGGCGACCGAGGGTATTTAAAAAGGAACGAACAATCCTAGCCGACAAATAACAAACTATGTGTATAACATCAAGACAGTACACGTGTATAATCAAGAAACAAATCTCAGCCACATACAATGAGTCATTATCTGCCACATATATAGGCACATGTAACATTATAAATAATATTGCATTCACTCAGGTTTAGTTTGTCTATTTTTAAGTACAAAAATTCATAGTTCAAAAACTTTTTTTTATTAAAAAACTGCTTTAAAAAATAATAATAAAATTATCTCAAACAAAGTCTTAATTCTTCACAAAATATGAAACTAGAGATTCAACTTTCATAATATTTGGTTGAAAAAAAAAGTATTTTGATGTGTATTAAAATAAATGAGGTGGAAGTAATTTATGTAAGTTGGTGGGAGACGTTTGTAATTTGCTTCCTTCTTAAACTCCAATGAGCTGTTTGGCAAAAAGTGAGATTTAATTTTAGTGGCAGTAAATCCTGTAAATCCGAATTTAGTAAATATTAAGGGTGTTAAATCTTAAAAACAGTTTGATATGACAAATTTTAAATCCTATTAAATCATGAGAAATTGTTTGGTAATATATTTTAGGATTTATACAATTAGAAATTTAAATGTGAAGAAAATAATTAAAAATTAAAAATTAAAATTAATATGTTATGAATTTAATGACATGTTTAGTACAAACTACTTATTAATTTTAATTTTAATTATAGTTAATACATTTTAATGATAAATAATTTAATTAGAAGTTAGCTTGATTGCTAAATTATTAAATTATTAATTATAATATTATTTTTAAATTACTTATTTATTTGTTAATTTAATAAATATTTGATATCTAATTATATTAATAAGTATCTAATTAATTAGTTAATTTTTTAAATAATTAATTATTTAATTAATACATAAACTAGTTTGCTCCTTCCACGACTTTGCCTTCCTGTCGCCTGTGGGATCGGAAGCAACAACGGAGCTCGCCAAATATTTGGCAAAGAAGCGCGCGAAAGGGGATCGTAGGCACTATGCATGAAGAAGCCTTGGCCTCCTCCGCCCCCGCTCCGGTAGACGCGTACTCCGCTTCCTCCGCTTCCTCCGCCGCCTTAGCATCCACCGGCTTAGCTGCGTCACCATCCCCCCTCCCCAGACTCCGAGCTGAATAAAGCAGTTTTTCGCCAGTAGAACTCCTTGAAGGCTCGAAACAAAGGGCTCTTCTCGAGGGCGCCATTGAAAGCGCGGTCAGGGAACCTGCTGAATGGGATTCACAATATCCCTTGACGGCAGGAGGAAGACAGTAATTTAAGCATGGGTTACGGAGCACGATCTGCAGTAGAAAAGTCGCAATCTATATCCCCTTCCACCTTGATTTCTGTCTCAATCACCTTTTTGGTTATGCAGTTTGGGTAATTCAGCCCAGCGGGCTTAGAACTTCAGATGCGCGAATTTCTTGAAGCTTAACAGCCAAAAAAAACCCCACAAAACCCTCTACAATGTGGGAAATGCGATACAGATGCAGTGAGAATACTCGGGGGCTGTTTGGCAGCTAAAGGAGTCATGTACGCAGTTTGCTAAATCCTGCCAAACAGAATTTGAACGCCTCGTAAATCTCACGGCGGAAGGGAATAAATCCTCCGTTTTGCTCTTTTTGCCGTAAATCCTGGATTGGTTGTAATCAGAAAAATTAAAATTGTTGTGCTTAAACTACTGCAGATCCCTTTACTTGGAACGCTTGATGAAATAAATTCTTATAATTGATTATTGGTTTATATTTAAATGCATGCCGTCGTTGATTTTTCTGGAAAATTGCAATATGTTGATTCATTGTATAGTCATTTTTTCTGAAGCATCAAATTCATAGAATTGAATTAAAGACCGTTTAACTATACTAGAAGACCTTTATCAATCATAGATTTAGAATTTTAGTGCTCACAAAAAGCAGTTTGACCTTATATTAATATCTCTATTCTTATATATATATATATATATATATAAGTTTTCTTGCCATGCATAAGTTTAATTTGTTCATGAGAAAGGATGTGATGATTGAAAGCATAATATTAGCATTATTGGCACTTTAGCATGAACCTAATATAGATTTGTGCTATGAATAATCATTACTGTTGGATCTATATTTGTTTGTGGATGAAATCAAAAACTCTAATTTTTTCTTTGGATCTAAGTGAGTATGAAGAGTTAGAAAAGCGCTCTATAAATTATATATGAAATCAAAAGATCCAAAATATACCTCTTCATCATTTCTTATAAGGCTCAAATAACTACAATGAATGGTACACCTTGAAAGAAATATAAAATAACATATCTTCCATTATACAAATGTGACCTAGTTGATTGATGTCTAAGTGGATCCCTATCTATGATGTGCAGAGGCGGAACTACCTTGTGGTCAGGGGGGGCAATTGCCCCCCCCCCCCCCAAAAAAAAAACAATGATCTTTAAAAAAAAAAAAAAAAAAAATGATTATATGATTTTTAAGGTAATTTATTCATATTCATTCATTTTTTAGTCTTTATTACAAGAGTTTTTAGGCCATTGACCCCTATAAAAATTTTAAAATACTATGGTCTTTAGGTAATTGCCCCCATCAGGTCGAACCCCGTTAGGGGACGCTGAACCCTTGGACCCCTGATATATATGCCTTATAAGTTCCCCCCCCTCCCTGAAAATTTCGGCTGGTTCCCCGCCCCTAATGATGTGGTTTCCTCCACCTAGGCTAGTTCCCTGGAAGAGTCTTCGATGGCTAGTTAGTGTCTTGGGTGAGTATGTGTAGGTGAGTTCTTTAGATGACAGGGTGAGTCCATAGAGGCATTATTCGAACCTTTATGCGCGAGGGGTGAATCCACTTTGATAGAAATAGCCGTAAACCAAGGTTTGACTCAACATGAGGAATCGTAACTAAGGGATTCTGAGCTATGCGCTTCCTGCAACTGAATCAGCAGGCGGGTGGCCTTGATTGTGGATAGTTGCTATAGATGAGTGGTTTCTGTTGAGGCGAGTGACCTCTAGGACCCATATTGATCTGGACGAGTCGTCCGATGGGTCTTGCAGAGGATGATGACAAGTCTTCAAGTTAAGTTATGTTTCCTCTGAGGGAGAGTGGCCGATCTACAAATTGGTGATAGCTACCTTATTGTGAGGTGTCCTTCCATGCATGTTAGTTCCTCTCTTGGGTGATGTGACAATTTCGGCCAATCCTCTTAGTTGGAAACTACTAGGTACTTGAGGGTATCCTACATAGGTGTGAATGATTATATATTTAGTTTTCTTATTCACTTGACCTTTTGAAAGTCGATTGTGAAAAGTACAAGTGAATTAAAGACGAGCATTTATTGCTTTCAACAAAT